TGCATACACAAAGAGTGCGATGCGCACCATCCGGGGGATGGACACGCTTGAAGCTTGGACTTGGGGGGAAGGGGGGGCAAGGGCAACATACGTAACCTAAACATCTGTACTCCCATAATATGGTGAAATAAAATAAAATAAAATTTGCCCAAATACACAGTATGCTATACAGTAAAGCATTTATTATAGAAAGAGTAAAAAATAAAACATAACCTAATTCAAGGGCATCTTTTGAGCTGGAAGAGGCCATATCAGAACATGACTTAAAAATCCATCCCCAATTCTGGGAATATATCGTTACGAAATACGAACCCATTACCAGTACCACATCCAGCTTGAACAAACCAACCAGCAACACTTTCAAGTTCTACTGAAAATAAGGCAGAATGGTAAGTTAAAAGGTACTGAAAACCTAGCCTACCAGAATTGAAGAAATGATTATCACCATGTGACTCTACTGGATAAGCCATATGCAAAGAAGGTGACAGGAAGATATGGAAATGTTAAAAGCATTATAGCCAAAGAGCACCTTTCACTTGTCTGAGTTACAGAAAGAGCTGATCTAACACGTTAGTCTCTTCAGCTACAATCACACATACATAATCATAATAACTGGTATAATTTTGGTATCATGAATCCTATCTGTGACATCAGTGTAAGAGTAAAACAAGGAAATTTTTCTTTAACTTCTAAAATTGTCAGGTAGGTAATTTGGTCATTTTTGAGAACACATGACCACTTTCAATCACTTGTTCTTCTTAAGTTTTTCTTTTCCATAGCCTGTTCTTATGTCCTTTGCATTTTGATTTTCTTTTTAAGTTTCTCCCTCTTTTTTTCCCTGTCCCTACTAATTTCTCGAGCCTGCCATCAGTGTTCTCATGTATTTTAGTGTTGCTGGCAGCGTTTGGAAACAGGGAAGTACTGATCCTTGGCTAAAGGAGTGCAAAAGAATGTTTCCCAGTGTTTTACACATTTGAAATTAGGCTTAGCAAAAAATAGTTTCAGTGTTATCACCCAAATGAAGTGTAATACATTTAAACAAGAGAACATGGAAATAAATGTACCTTCAGAGCTACAAAATCATATGGATGAAAGCCAATACAGGCCTTGTGGATTTGGGACATCATTTGAGCTGTTTTCTCCCAGAATCCAAGCAGTGTTCTCTGCAGAAAAAGAAAAGGTGACACTACAATTCTGCTTCTCCTCTGTGACTTTTAAGTACTGTATTTCCTCACTAGTGTAGTAGAGGAATAGTTGCCAAATAAGAAGCTGGAACTTAATTAAAGTTTTAGGAACCGGGAAGCACTGCAAACAGTAATTTTGCACAAGAACTGGCATCTGTGGAGAGGGAGGAACAAGGGAAACGGCAGGGAAGGAACTGGCATCTGTGTCTGCATGTGCATGTGCCCATCTGTGTACTGCGCTGGAATGCACACTGGGGCCACCTAGAGTGTGACTGCAGCTAAGAGAATGAAAACCAAGGGATTAGAATACCTGAAGTATACAATAAAAGTACAAAAATACCAATCTCTATAGAAGCAAGGACATATGTGTAATCTTTATGTTGGTAGCATATATAAGCATTTTTTTAATTGGAGAAAAATAACATTTACCTCTAAATTTGATCTTTCATCTAAGGTTCAAGAAAAATTTACCAAAAAATGTGTTCTCAAGCTAACTCAAGTAATTGGAAATTTTCCTCTCTGCCTTGGGGTTCCTGTTTAAAGTGAAGGGGATGAGTGGAGAGAACAAAGGAGAATTGAACTAATAGCTATTGTGTTTCGGGTGTTACACTACACAGATGGTCATGTACTTTTATTTTCCAGAGCATCCCTTCTTGATTCCTGAATTCCATAATACTGAACTGAATTAGGTAGATTCCCTAAAAGAAGGAGTGAACATCCATTTCCATTTCCTTTAATTTATTACTCTTTTCTTATATAAGTACAGTCTATTCTATTTTGCTATTTATGAATATATGTTAAAATCAGTAACTGCTACTTATTGATATCTAACTTTTTCATTGTATGTGTGATTTGGAATAATAGAAGCACAAGTGAGACTTCTGAGGTTAAAGTGATAGGGGATGGCAACTTGGCAAAATGAAAAGAATGAACAATCTAGAATTAGAAAACTTAGTTTTTTAACCCCAACATTGCCATTTACTTTAATTCTCATAGGTTTCACATTTCTCATCCATAAAATGACAGAAAAGTTTTCAAACTTTTGGGGCCACAGCATCTTTGCTTAAAATGAAATTGTATGTAGAAGTTCAAAATCAGAAGTGCAGCAGCTCTGGTTGAACCAGGGCTAATGGGCCTTAAACTTTGCCTTCTCAACATTCCCCTTTTCAATTTCAGATGGTCCCTAAGTCGCTCTCCTAGGACACCAAGGAGAATAGCTACAGGAGTAGACAATCTCTAAGGTCCTTTTCAGTTTAGAACTTTATGATTCTCTGACTATCATAACCTCAATAAATCAATTATAACAGAGTCAAAGGAATCTAATCAATTATATAATTTTTGGTACCCTTTAGACAACTTTTAAAAAGGAATCTCACCACTCATCTTTACTGCAAGGACATGCTGACCATGGAGGTGGGTACCTGGTAGGTAGTGAGTGAATGAGATAGCATATTGCAGCGACTAGCTCCAAGTAAATCCACTTTCTGACAAACATCCATCTTTAACTTGTCAAAAGCAGCTTTGCTATTTCTCACTTGGATCTGTACCTGCAATCACAAAAATGCCAATTAGTATTTCCAATAATACAGAGATATACATAACATACAGGTTCATAATAAATATTTATATATTTATAATAAGTATTGATAATACATATTTTCAAGCATAAAGTATAATAAAGTAGACTAATTCCTTTTCCCTGTATTATTAATATTTCATGAGTAATGATAAAGATTTTGGCTATTTTTAGTACTTGTAGGAGATTCTTTCCAACAGATATCTTTATGAGATAAAAGATGGAAAGTGTATAGTTAAGAAAAAAATTTCCAAATAAAAACAAACATCTGAAACTATGCATGGGTAGTATTTAGCTAAGAGAAGAAGAATAATGGAAAGGGGGCCTAGTTAAAATGTTGAGAAGCATTAGCAATATTTCAGAATCAGGCCAGGTGCAGTGGCTCATGCCTGTAATCCTAGCACTTTGGGAGGCCAAGGTGGGAAGACTGCTTGAGGCCAGGAGTTTGAGACCATCCTGAGCAACAGTGAGACCCACATCTCTACAAAAAATAGAAAAATCAGATGGGCGTGGTGGCACACGGCTGTAGTCCCAGCTACTTGGGAGGCTGAGGCAGGGGGATGACCTGAGCCCAGGAGTTTGAGGTTGCAGTGAGCTATGATGAGGCCACTGCACTCCAGCCTGGGTGACAGAGCAAGACCCTGTCTCAAAGAAAAAAAAAAATGTTTCAGAATCATGGAGATATTTACAAATTTTAATAGAAGCTTATTATATTTTTTAGATGTATGATGAGTCATATGTCATCAGGTAATGTGCATACTCAACTTTCAAATACATTCATTCATTCATTTATTCAACAAATATTTACAAGGTACCTACTAAGTTCAAGACACGGTTCTAGGCACTGGTATTGTTTTGTGGTGAACAAAACAATGTTATTCCCCACCATCCTCAGGTAGAGAAGCACAGGGAAAAAAGAAGTAAATAAATGTACAAGATAATCTCAGGTTGCAAAGGCAGAAAATAAGTGAACAGCAATGAGTGACTACTTTTAATAAAATATTAACAATCACAGAAGCCCTTGGTGAGATCATGTATAATGTTTGAACTGGGTCAGAAAAATGATGAGTAGGCCATGCTAAGACCCTGGGGCGAGCATTTCAGGACCAAGGACAAACAAGGACAAAGGTCCTGGGAGTAGGCCAGGTAGGTGGCTCATGCCTGCAATCCCAGCACTTTAGGAGGCCAACATGGGAGGACTGCTTTAGCCCATGAATTTGAAGACCAGCCTGGGCAATGCAGAAAGACCCTATCTCTACAAAAAAAATTTAAAAATAAATAATTTTAAAAGGTCCTGGGAGTGGGAGGGGGTAAAGAGCTTGACACATTTGAAAAACAGGAAAGAAGAGGGTAGAGCATATCTTTCCTGACACATAGGAAGCAAGTACAAAATGAGGTTGCCAGAGAGACCAGGGATCAGACCATGTGGGGCTTTTTGGGTCCAGATAGAGATATGAATTGTATTCTTTTTTTAAAAATTGAGGTGAAATTCACATCACATACAATTAACCATATTAAAGTATACAATTCAGTGGCATTTAGTGCATTCACAATGTTGTGCAACCACTCCCTTTGGTTGTATTCTCATTGCCAAAGATTGTAAAGCAGATAGAATAAGAGGTTGCTGTGGCCTGAGGCCATATGTTCACCTACTTTATAGGGCTATTGTGTGCAATCAATGAGGCAAACCACTTACAACAGCTGGCACATAGTAAAGACTCCAACAATATTAAATATTATGATTTTTATTATGGGTTCTCAAAATATTTATGAAATAAATGAGCAAATGAATTTTATTATTCATATATGGTAAATTTAGGGGATATAATTTATAATGAGTTTATTGAGCAAAAACGTGTGTCCATATATAGATAGTTGCTTACAAGGTTTATGGTCAAACTTTGTATTGTAGCAGAATGAAAAATTTGATAACTTTTACTTTTTCTTATAATTATCATTTTACATGAGTTTTTTACTTAAATTACATTTTTTCTCTCTCAGTAATAAATTATTTTCTTCCTGGAAACAAATCTCAAAAGTTCAGATAAGCAGAGTAATTAGATCTATTATGAGGTGATAAAAAATTAGTAAAAAAAAGTTGATGGTATGGAGGATGCCAAAGAGTAAAAACAAAAGTGTGACAACCTTTTGTACTTCAACTAAAATCTTCAACTGAAACAGGAGCCGCACCTCTCACCTCTCACAAAAATCAACTCACAGTGGATAACAGACTTAAACCTAAGGCATGAAACTATAAGAATTCTAGAAAAACTCTTATAGGCATCAGCCTAGGCAAAGAATTTATGAAGAAGACCCCAAAGGCAATCACAGCAACAACGAAAATAAATAAATGGGACCTGATCAAATTAAAAAGCTTCTGCACAGCCAAGGAAACTATCACAAGAGCAAACAGACAACCTACAGAATGGGAGAAAATATTCGCATGCTACACATCTGATAAAGGGCTGATAACTAGAATCTATATAGAACTTAGGAATATCAGCAAGAAAAAATCAAACAACCCCATTAAAAAGTAGGCAAAGGACATGAACAGAAACTTTTTCAAAAGAAGACAAATAGCCAAGAAACATATGAAAAAATGCTCAACATCTCTAATCATTAGGAAAATGCAAATCAAAACCACATGAGATATCACTTAACTCCAGTGAGCATGGCTTTTATTAAAAAGTCCCAAAACAATAAATGTTGGCATGGATGTAGAGAGACAGGAACGCTCATACACGGCTGGTGGGACTGCAAACTAGTGCAACCTCTGTGCAAAGTAATATGGAGATACCTCAGAGAGCTACAAGTAGAACTACCATTTGATCCAGCAATCCCATTACTGGGCATCTACCTAAAGGAAAAAAAGTCTATAAAAAAGACATTTGCATTCAAATGTTTATAGCAGCACAATTCACAATTGCAAAGATGTGGAAACAACCCAAGTGCCCATCAATACATGAATGGATTAATAAAATATGGTATATGTATACCGTGGAGTACTACCCAGTCACAAAAAACAATGGTGATCTAGCACCTCTTGTATTATCCTGGATAGAGCTGGAGCCCATTCTAGTAAGTGAAGTATCAGAAGAATGGAAAAACAGGCACCGCATGTACTCACCATCAAATTAGTATTAATTGATCAAAACTTATGTGCACATATAGTAGTAACATTCATCGGGTGTAGGGTAGGTGGAAGCGGGGGAGGAGAGGATGGGTATATTCACACCTCATGGATGCAGTGCACACTGTCTGGGGGATGGGCATGCTTGAAGCTCTGACTCAGGTGGGGCAAGGGCAATATATGTAACCTATACATTTGTACCCCTGTAATATGCTGAAATAAAAAATAAATAAATAAAATCTTCAAACAACCAAGAATTTATAATAAAACATATATTTCTCAAAAATAGTCTGACATTTTATGATCTTGATTATTCTGTGGCAGTTCCATGTTTTATATATCAAGAAAAGGAAAAGTACAAATTTTCATACTTTTCTGAATTTTTCCATTTGTTTTAAGGTGTCTGGGTCCAGTTCTTGGGATACATCTTTCATCCACAGCAGAGCTCCTCTGTATTCTGTGCGTGCCTGCTCCATTCGATTAATCGTCATCAAGGTATCAGATACTGCCCTCTGACTGAATGTTGCTACTTCTTGCTTAAGACGAGACAGGGGAGTACACAGGGCCAATCTAATAGGAGAGAGGTAAAATTCAGAGGGTTGCACAAATATAAGTAAAACAGAACAAAGATTTAAACTAATCATAAAGCATATTTGCTATCAAGATGACTCTACAAACAAAAAATTATTATATTAAGATGCCTGGCCGGGCGCAGTGGCTCACGCCTGTAATCCTAGCTCTCTGGGAGGCCGAGGCGGGCGGATTGTTTGAGCTCAGGAGTTCGAAACCAGCCTGAGCAAGAGCGAGACACCGTCTCTACTACAAATAGAAACAAATTAATCGGACAACTAAAAATATATAGAAAAAATTAGCCGGGCATGGTGGCGCATGCCTGTAGTCCTGGCTACTCGGGAGGCTGAGGCAGTAGGATCGCTTGAGCCCAGGAGTGTGAGGTTGCTGTGAGCTAGGATGACGCCACGGCACTCTACCCCAGGCAACACAGTGAGACTCTGTCTCAAAAAAAAAAAAAAAAAAAGATGCCTAAGGAGATTTAGAAAGCAAATAAGGATAATGTAGCCAACTTTGAAGTATTAATAAAGATGTGCCTATACCTCCCCCTTTTTGTCACATTAGGAAATAAATCATTTTTTGCAACATCTTGGATGTTAATCCATGTATAAATAACCTGTCAAGTAAATGTGCCATTTAGAAAAGAGTTTCGAGGGTAACAGAGAATCTGCATTCATAAAGCGTAATATAATTAATAGAAAGCCTTTCATTAGATAAGTTAAGGGAGAACCTGGATTTAGAAGAGCAGATAAAAGGCTAAAGAACTAATGAGTATGGATGGAGTCCTTAGAGGCTGAGGATGAAGACAAAAAAACAAGTATTTAAGAAATATAAATTAAATCCAACCCTTCTACTCTGCTTTTGACTTAATTGGAGGTCCCTGCACTATCTGTCATTTCCTTCAATGGACTTTTGCACTGATGTGATGTTTCAGAATAAAGCCACTTACACTGGACATCATCATTACAGGCTGATAAGGACTGTTTTATTTTTCTTCTGAAATACAAAGATTTGGGCTATCTTTAGTAATTATAGGAGATTCTTTGCAGCAAGTATCTTTGTGTTAAAACATTGTGAAATAACAAATGGAAAGTGTGTAATTAAGAAGAAAAAATTGGGCCAGTCACAGTGGCTCATGCCTGTAATCCCAGTACTTTGGGAGGCCAAGGCAAGAGGATTGCTTGAGGCCAGGAGTTCGAGACCAGCCTGAGCAACATAGCAAGACCCCCATCTCTATAAAAATATTTAAAAATTAGTCAGGCATGGTAGTGTGCACCATAATCCCAGCTACTCAGGAGGCTGAGGCAGGCGGATCAATCAGTTGAGCCCAGGAGTTCGAGGTTGCAGTGAACTATGATCATGTTACTACACTCCTGCCTGGGTGACAGAATAAGATCCTATCTCTAAAAAACAAAAAACGAAGAAGAAAAGATTTCTTCCACTTAAAAAGAAAAGTCCCAATGTATTCATAGATAGTATAGTATCAAAAAAGTAAAAGAAAACAATGGAAATATACATATTTAAAATATTAACCATTCTGTGACTGTTACATTAAACCACTTAAGAATTATAAATACAGTACTAAAGGCTATTCTCCTAGGAATTAAGCAACCAAGAACATCAATCTTTAAATAATTATTTTGAATAAAAAATTAATGATTAAGAGTTAGGTATCAAAAAAGTTATACTGCAATATATTTCTCTTTTCTTTAACCCTTTATTGGAATGATCAGTGACCTTTACAAATAAGCAAATTTAAGTACACATGTCAAAATGTCATTTGCCTACAGATTTAAGGATGATGAAAAACCATGGTAAACCTTTGCTTGGCTGAAGAACAGAGTGCCTTGCCAGTGGCATCCATCATTTTGCCAGCTTGAGTTGCATCCCGTTCTGCTTGAAACTTTAAAAAGAGCCCTAGCTCATTTTCTTCCTCTGATATAACTAGGGAAAAAAATTACAGTATAGTTAATTGTTTCATTTCATCATTTGTTTAAAATATACACACAACTAAAATTCTCACAGCAATAACACTCTCTACTAAGATTTACTTGGAGGAGGAAGAGGAGAAATTTATTTCTAAAATGCAAATTCCTGGGCTCTGTTTCCAGAGATTCTGATGTTACAGGTCTGGGTTTCTTGTTTTTTACAAGCACTCCAGATGGTTTTGATGCAGTGAATCCATGGATCTTGCTTTGGGAAAGACTAATTTTGGGGTGACAGAAAACCCTAAAAGCTACAAGATAAAACCAAGCCACAAATAATGCATTTTCAAATGTTCAGAGATGCATTTTAGGATCATTGTCTCTTACAAAGTATTTGTTTCCTATTTAAACTAGTTAACTCATTCTTGATTCCCATCCTGGCTTCAGTTTCCTGTGCTTAGTATCCCAGACCCACAGCTGTCCACAATTTTGTAGCAGCAACCCTAAAAGTTGTCATCTGGTAGACTGTTATTCAAAGTGTGGCCATGGACCAGAGTTGATCCAGAATCCTCTGTTATCAGCCTGTGACAAGATAAGTAAAGAAACTGAGAATAACTGCATAGAGACTTTTACAAATTTGAGCATTTCACATTTGTTGAATCTAATAATTTTAAAAGTGAGCTTATATTTTCATGTCTTTTTATTTCACTTTTCTAAAAATTCATTTTTAAGTATCAGTTTACAAGAGATTGAAAGTATAATAAGCCACAAAACAAAAAATTGGTCCTTCACCACATTTTAAGAAACACTGATCTAATGTAAGGTAACCCTCTAAACCACATTAAGACTAGTAAGGGAGGAAAGCCCATAAAGTGTCCCAACTATAAGCTTTTAAAGTGAACAAAATGACAACAAATGTCATGCCAATTTCACCCTAGTTCAATGATAGAAAACTTGAAGTCATAAACTGAAATGGAAGTCCCTGGGTACCTCTGAGGCTACAACAGAACTCGGGCCTTCTCACTTGCTGGCTCCCCATTCCCACTGTTCCTCCCTCTCATGCCTACGAGGGTGACATGACCCAAGGGGAACATGATGGTGTTATGAGGGAGGGTGTCTACACATTGTGTAGTATCATCTTTAATAAAACCATATGCTGTATTATGCACAACTAGCCTGATCCAGACTGGATGGGATTTGGGGAGTCATGTTAATTTAACATTCTGATTACTTGAGAGATGTATGAATCAGAATTTCATAATATATATCTCAATGAAAACTACTAGAAAAAATATTCATTTGTGTATGATGATTCAGAAAGCCCTCTGAGAACTTGGACTACTTCATTATCAAGTATCAATTGAACGTAAATCATCATTGAGCCATACCTTTATCAATGTAGAAAGGGCAGGCGATGAGGCTGCATTTGTGCTGTTTCTGTGGTGGGACCTGCCTGCCAAATTCTACAGAGACCCCACCCTGATGTGTTCTTCACCCCGTTAAGTGATTCCCATAAAGATTTATAGCACTGGACTAACCTACTGCATTTGTCTGATGTTATTCCTAACAGAAGATGTATTAACACAAGTCTTTAAGAAAGCATATATTTATATATGATCTCAAAGTACACAATGAAATCTGTATATGTGTATCTCCTCCTTATCCTGAAATGCTCCACCAGAGTGCTAAAAGATCTAATGATGTCAAGGCAAAACAAACTTGCCAGTGTTTCTTCACATTTCCATTTCTATCGAAGCACATCCTCGGTCCAATGGTTGCGATGGCTTTTTACCGCTTGGTAAAATATTTAACATCCTTGGTGATATAACCCTAAATATCCTTTGCTTCTTTATCCTCCCATTAGTTTCAGTGACAAATTCTTCTGCCCATGCAGGCTGTTCTCAATCTTTAAGCTTATTCCCTGGACTCTAAATCTCTTCTTTTCTCCAAATACTCAACTTCTATAAACCCTCTTTTAAACTCAATTCCCATCTATGGAGTCGCCTTTATCAATTGCTGTAACATACAGTTATTTTTCGCTCCTAGGAATTGAAAGTTATATCACTATTCTGAATTCAATTACATACTATTAGTATCATCTCTTGTTTTGTTACAAAAAGTTGTGTCTCTAACTATTTTCTTGGGAAAAGCACATAACCTTGCACATGGCAGGTACTCAAAAAATATTGGAATAATCATGCTTTATTGGATTTCTTTCTCTAATTGGATAATATATAAGCTTAGATTATAAAGTGATGGTATTAATTTACATAGCTACACAAGAAAAGCATTCCTTGTGTAAATATTTACTAAATACTGAATATGTGCTAGACATTGTTTCTAGACTTTGGGGACACAGAAATAAAAAAAAAAACATAAATTCTGTCCTTAAGGAGGGCATATTCTAGGGGTGGGAAGAAAAACAATAGATAAAATCTATAGAATACTAAATATTGTTATGTGGACAGTGGGTTTTGAGGGAGAGGGATATTGCATTTTAGATATATGGTTCCATGAAGGCCTCATTAAAAAAAGGACATTTTACCAAACACAAAAGGAACTTAGGGGGCCCACTATGCAGATATGCCTACTGTTGAAGAGATTAATATGGCTGAAGAGGAGAGGGTTTTACAAGATGCCACTCTAATTAAAACAGGAGAAGAGATCCAAAGATTGAGTTTTGGTTTGAAGAGGTCAAGGAGAGAGGAGAATCCAGCAAAGGCAGGATGCTGAGAAGGAATAACCAGAAGGAGGAAAACCTGGGAAGCCAAGTGAAGAAAATATATCAAGGAGGAGGGATAATCAACTGTGTTTAATAATGTGATAAGCCAAATAATTGGTCATTGGATTTAGCTCTTCATGAACTTGACAAGAGAAGTATGGTGGAGTAGTGGTGATGAAAACTTGACTGGAGTGAGTACAAGAGAAAGTGGAAGGAAAGGAATGGAGACCATGCAAGCAGACAACTACGTCAGTTTTTTCTATAGAGAGGAGCACAGGAATGGGACATTAACTGCAAGGGCAAGTCAGGGTCAAGAGAGAGTGTACGTGATGGAAGCAAATAGATTTAAGACTCTGGAAAGGAAAACTGAGTATCAGCAAAATGAATCTGTGCCAGAGGATTTGATCAACTGAGGAAAAAAGATGGATACGGGGGGGCTTTGAGAACAGGTCACCATAAATATTCATATTTTGCCATATGAAACTATCCACAAAATAGTTCCACTACTTTTACATTAAATCTTTCATTTTCAAAAATGCAAGCTAATATTTATTTTAAATGAGAATGATCAGATATCTATGATTTCATACCATTGAGTCTTAGCTGATATTTCTCGACTATCTTCAGAAGTTCAGTGCATGTCTCTTGAATGGAGTGAAAAACCTTGAAATATAAATTTTATTAGGACAATTTAAAGAACCATAAATATAAAATATCTGTTATAAGCACTTCGAAAGCATAACATTTTCTTGTAAGTATTGTGTCTCTTTTATAAATATTATGTCTATTTTCCTTGGCTATGACATACTTCTGTTTTACTTTTAATGTAGAAAGTACATTTAGATTTCCCCCATGAAGGCTGGAAAAAATGGTGATAAATAGATGGGAGCAAATAAAATAACTGTAGAGTTTGTCCTCCTCTCGGCTCCAAATTATCTAAATAGCAAAAAGTTAAATCCAATATAAACTACATCAAATATTACCAGCCACAGATGAAAAGAGTGTAGATGTCTATGGCCATACCACCCTGAATGCGCCCAATCTCATCTGATCTTGGAAGCGAAGCAGGGTCGGGCCTGGATAGTACTGGCTGGGAAAAGAGTGTAGATAACCTCAGGAAGTGTTAACTTGGAGTCTGGCTTTTCTCCAGTATTGGTCTGAGAAAAACAGGTCAGTGAATTTACTGTAAAAATTAAATAATGTATCACAACAACAAATATAAATTACTTTTGAATTAATTTTTGTTTAGAATTTTCCATAGATATTAATCCCTTTATTACTACTGTTACTAATTGCTAACAGAAAAGAAATAAAATATGCAGTAGACTTTCATTTAAAAGTTAAGCACATGATAATTTGAGGTGAGGACACAGTATATACATGACATAATTCTTTACAAATATCTATAAATGTAGGTTTTCCCAGAAAAACAAGCCAGCATAGGTTTTAGAGTATAGTCTCCATATCACAAAGTCCTACAATGAAGAATTTTTATGAGACTAATTCAAAAAGACCTTGGCACTGTGTTGTAATATTACATTAAGCCCTAACCCTTTGATTATCAAATAAATTCCCAATATCATCCAGAAGCTTTAATACTCTTATCTCTGGAGCAGCTTTACTGTTATTTTGATATTTGGTCAAACCTAAGGAAGATTGATAATAAACACTAAAATGTTAAAGGAGGACTAACCATCAATTTTCCATATGAATTTAGAAATGTTTGAATTGGAATTGATATCCAAATTTGGCAACTTAAAAAGCATGTTTTAAATGCATATGAAAGAAGATTTTAGAAAAGAATACAAAAAAGATAGTTCTACTAGGATGAAGTGATTATGGTTGATTTTTTCCCCATGGGTCTTTGTAAGATTTATGTACTATTGCTTTTTATTTTCACAATGAATATATTTCTCGTTCTTAAAAAAATAGTACAAATTGTGGGAGAAAGTTCTTGGTTGATTCCAAATATTTGTCTAATAAACAAATTTACACTGAATATAAAATATATCACTCACAAATAACCTAATATGTAAAACAATACAAAAACATCATATATTCCCACTTCTTGAGAATATATCTAGAAACAGTGACAAGTTCTCTTAACATTAAAATATATATCACATATAATAGTAAAGTCCCTTCATTTTTTCACAGTTGTCATTGAATCCTAAGAGGAATACTTATCGACATGAATAGTAAAAGCTTGTTAATTTGTTATATATTTCCATATTATGACCAAGACATAAGCTTATTGTTTGCAGAATGAAATACTTAGATCAAGACCTATACAATTAGACCTTTATTTTTAAGAATCCCAACATAATGATTATATTCCAAGTGTAACAGAACCTTGCTTGGAAATATTTATAAGGTTTATCTTAAATTAGTGTATGTATATGGAATTAGTAAATCTGCATTTAAAAATTCAGACTTTTTCACTCATTTACATGATACTCTCCTCTAATTAGCCTAATTAGTTAAAAGTATAAAACATTTATAGGTTTAAAGTTGTTTCATGGCAATTACTTCTTTTATTTAAAATGAAAAACACCCAAAAAAGGCATTATGAAATACTTCAATAAGGGTATTCGTTAACAAAAAGATAACAAAAACTCTTAACTTTTCTTCATTCACTGTTTGATTTTAATTAATTTATTTCAGTGAGGTATAAGACTTCACATCAAAGTACTACAAAATAGTGTGAGATGATATATAATGAGTATATGGTTCCAACCAGTAATTTAATTAATTCATTAACGTTTAGCTTAAAAACTATAATACATGTGCCAGAGAAATTACCTAATTCGTAATTTATCTAATTTAGTAAATAACAATTCTGCAAATTCTTAGTTTGTGAGAATTGTGATCTACTATTCAGAGCTCTGATTGGCAGTTGGATACAACTAAACATTCTATTATCAAACTTACATTTATCTCCATAAGCTCTTCAGTGTGAAAGTGTGTCGTAATTCCCCCTGGAGTCCCAAATACAATCAATAATATGCAATACACAGAATACTCAAATTTACCTCAAGTTTAGCATCCAGTTCAGCATCAGATGCCACCACGTGCTCATCCTCTTTTTTTCCTGTTGCTTTGATAAAGACCTGTTTAGTTTTCCAGTATTTCTTTTGCATTCTGCTGACTACTGACTGGTTATCTTCTGGTCTGGGTTGCCCAAAGGAATCCATGGAGTGGCTACAATGAATAGACTAAAATTAAACTTCTTAAAAAAATAAATATCTACTTAGCTATTTAATCTAATTGACAAACTGAAAAAATACTAAAGAGGATATTAATGTTCACAAACATGCTATTGCTTACTTTGTGTGAGCTAAATTTATGTTATAACTTGTACAAGAAACAGGCAAAAGATTAATGATACACTAATTTCAGTTAGGTGACAAAGGTAATAAAATTTATGATTTTTGCAATTATGTCTAAAAATAATTCTATTTGACCTATCTCTATTTATAGATGTTTATTAGTTTCTAATGTTTGCTTTTGTAATAATACTGTAAAATGAACAGACTTATACACACATCTTTAAATACTACTATCATTTCCTTAGGAAAACTTCCTATAGTTATAATTGCTATGTAAGACAAACACACATTTAAGAAATATTCTCAGATATGCAAAGATTCAGATACATACCCTTTAAAAATCACTCAAAGAAATACTTTAATATCCAATAAATCAACAAAAATAAGGACCTTATTTATAAGGTATAGGAGAAAGATGTAATAAAAGAAATAGAGATGGACATTGTAAATTGTAAACATAAAAATTTATGTTTAACTGTTCTTAACGTGGTTAACATGGCTATATAAGGAAATGCAAATGTGAAAAGTATTTCTTAAGGAGATATAAAAAGAAGAAATAATAATAATAGTTTGACTCTAAAGCCCAAATTATTCCAATGAAATGTGGGAGTAGGAACAAAAGAGAGGTACTAAAATATGTGACTCATTCATCACTTCCAGGCACATCAACAGATACTATTGTATTCTTCATGTTGGTAAAGAAATAGAGGTTCACTTTCTTTTTATTTTGAATTACTAATTAAATAAAAATAGCATATCTAATTTCCAAATTACTAGGGGCAAAACAAAAGAGCCAGAGAAACTTTAGCAAAAGCAAAAGACAGGGTGGGAAAAACAGGAGTAAGGCAACATAACACAGTATAAACCAAGATGGTGGAATAAGAACAATAATATTATTTAGTATGATAAATGCAAACTTCTTCTTAAATATACAAAGAATCTCAAATCATTAAAAAAACGCAAAATCCAACTAAATGCTATTTGAGAACCACCTAAGACAAAATGACACAGAAATAATAAAGGTATAGGTGAAGAGATACCAAGTAAATACAAACAAAATGAAATCAGGATATGATACTAATATTAGACAAAGTAGATTTTAATAAAAAGCCTAAAATAGAATAAAGATAAACTGTGACATCCCCAAAATGGCCACTTTTCCAGATACCCTCTGGATATTGTTCTTTGGATATCCTCCTAGATTCTTGGGCACTATAGATTAGTCACCATTTAATTACTGAGCCTCATAGCTTAGCTGGATATAATTTGGTATAGAAATGGAGTTTAATCTTGCGTACATAGGATACTTGGAATTGATATAAACATTATACTGTTCTGACACATAGAGAGTCGTGAGGGAAATTTGCAATGTTTTTCTTTCCTTCCCTTTTCCTTTTGTTTTCCTCTCCTTTTCCTCACAGAGTCTTGTTTTGTCACCTGGGCTGGAGTGCAGGGGCATCATCATAGCTCACTGCAACCTGAAACTCCAAACTCCTGGGCTCAAGCGATCCTCCTGCCTCAGCTTCCTGAGTAGCTGGGACGACAGGTGCATGCCACGACACCAGGCTAATTTTTGTATTTTTACTAAAGATGAAGGTCTCACTGTTGCTCAGGCTGATCTCATACTCCTGAGCTCAACCAATCCTTCTGCCTAGGCCTCTCAGAGTGTTAGGATTACCAGGCCTGGCCAACTTGGCAATTTTTCTTTCCCATCCAGATTCTGTCTGCTTTTGGTTGCTTTCAACTGCTTTCAAGTTCCTCCTCCACATCCCATTTTATAATTGTTATCAGCATGAGGATCAGTCTGATTGTATGACAAACTGCTAATCTCCTCTACTAAACTGACTGCAGGCTTAGGCCTGATCAGTTAAGAGAACAAAATACTAGAAAGTAAATTTATTCTAAGTGTTTTAATTTTTTGGCAGCCATTAAAAATAGCATGTTTTCTTGATTTCTTTTTCAGATAGGTCATTGTTAGTGTGTAGAAATGCCACTGAAATTTGTATGTTGATTTTGTATCCTACAACTTTACTGAATTTGTTTATTACTTCTAAGAGTTTTTTGGTGGAATCTTTAGGGTTTTCTAAATATAAGACTATGTCGTCTGCAAACAGAGACAACTTAACTTCTTCATTGCTGATTGGAACGTCTTTTCTTTCTTTCTCTTAACTGCTCTGGCTAGGACTTCTAATACAATACCATGCCAAACAAAAGTGGTGAAAGCGGCCATACTTGTCTTGTTCCTAATCTCGGGGGAAAAATTCAACTTTTCACAATTGAGTATGATGTTAGCTATGGCTTGTCATGTATGGCCTTTATCATGTTGTACACTCCTTCTGTATCTAATTTGTTAGGGGTTTTTACCATGAAAGGAGGTTGAATTTTGTTAAATGCCTTTTTTTGGTATCTATTGAAATAATCATATAGTTTTTGTCTTTCATTCTGTTAATATGGTATATCACATTTATTGATTTGCATATGGTGAACTATCCTCCCATCCCAGGGATAAATCCCCACTTGTTCACAGTGATCCTTTTAATGTGCTGCTGAATTCAGTTTGCCAGCATTTTGTTGATGATTTTTGCATCTATGTTCATCAGGGATATTGGCATGTAATTTTCTTTTCTTGTAGTGTTCTTGTCTGGCTTTGCTATCAGGGCTTCAAAAAATGAGTTTGGAAGTTTTCCCTCCTTCTCAATTTTTGGAAAGAGCTTGAGAAGGACTGGTATTAGTTCTTTAAATGTTTGGTAGAATCTGGACGCCATCAGGTCCTGGGTTTTTTTTTTGTTTGTTTTGATTTTGTTTTTTTGATGGGTGACATTTTATTACTGATTCAATTTCCTTACTCATTATTGGTCTATTCAGATTTTTAATTTCCTCATGATTTAGTCTTGGTAGGTTGTATGTGTCTAGGAATTTATTTCTGCTAGGTTATCCAATTTGTTGCCATATAATTAATTGTTCATGGTAGTCTATGATCCTTTGTATTTCTATGGTATCAGTTATAATGTCTCCTCTTTCATTGTTGATTTTATTTAAGTATGTTCTCTTTTTTTCTTAGTCTAGCTAAAGGTTTACCAATTTTGTTTATCTTTTCAAAAAACCAACTCTTAGTTTTTTTTGTTTTTTCTATTGTTTTTCTAGTCTCTATTTCATTTATTTCTGTTCTGATCTTTATTATTTCCTTCCTTCTACTAATTTTGGGCTTAGTTTGTTCTTTTTCTAGTGCCTTGAGGTGTAACATTAGGTTGTTTATTTAGGATCTTTCTTCTTTTTTGTTGTAGGTATTAACTGCTATAAACTTCCCTCCTCAAGCTGCTTTTGCTATATCCCTTAAGTTTGGGTATGTTGTATTTCCATTTTTGTTTCAAGATTTTTTAAATTTTTCTTTTAATTTCTTACTTGACCCATTGGTTGTTTAGGAACATGATGTTTAATTTCCACATATTTGTGAATTTTCCAAAATTCCACCTATTATTGGTTTCTAGTTTCATACCATTGTAGTTGGAAAAGATACCTGATTTAATTTTAGTCTTCTTAAATTTGATAAGACTTGTTTTGTGGCCTAAGATATGATCCTGGAGAACATTCCATATGTACTTGAGAAGAATGTGTATTCTGCTGCTGTTGAACAGAATATTCTTCAGATGTCTGTTAGGTCCATTTGTACTAAAATATAGTTCAATTCCAATGTTTCCTTATTGAATTTGTCTGGATGATTTGTCCATTGTTGAAAGGGGCTTATTAAAGTCCCCCACTATCATTTTATTGATGTCTATCTCTCTCTTCAGATCTATTAACATTTGCTTTATATATGTTTATTCTTCAATGTTGGGTGCGTACATATTTGAAATTATTATCTTGATGAATCAATCCCTTTGTCATTATATAATGACCTTCTTTGTCTCATTTTACAGTTTTTTGAGGCAAAGGCTATTTTACCTGATATAATTATATCTATCCCCACTCTCTTTTGGTTTCCATTTGCACAGCATATCTTTTCCATCCTTTCACTTTTAATCTATGTGTGTCTTTTAGAATGAAATGAGTCTCTTGTAGACAGCATATAGGTAGGTCTCTTTTTGTTTTTGTTTTTTTATCCATTCAGCTACTCTATGTCTTTTGATTGAAGAATTCAATCCATTACATTCAAGGAAATTATTGATAGGTAAGGACTTAGTACTGCCATTTTGTTAATTGTTTTCTGGTTGCTTTGTAGATCCATTGTTTCTTTTTTCCTTCTTTGCCTTCTTCCTTTGTGATTAGATGATTTTCTCTACTGGTATGCTTTGATTCCTCACTTTTTATCTTTTGTTTTTCTACTACAGGTTTTTGCTTTGTGGTTACCATGAGGCTTACACAAAATATCTTATAGTTATAACAGGCTATTTTAAAGCTAACAACTTAACCTTGATCCTATGAAATAACTCTATACTTTACTCCACCTTGTCCCTGTATTTATGTTTTGATAGCATGATTTACATCTTTTTATATTGTACATCCCTTAACAAATTAGCTATTTGTAATAGTTTTGCCTTTTAACACTCATAATAAAGATATAAGGATTTGCACACACCATTACAGTATTAGAGTATTCTGAGTTTGTGTACTTACTTTCACCAGTAAATTTTATACTTTTTGATGAGTTTGTGTCACTCATTAGCATCCTTTTCTCTCAGCTTGAAGAACTCCCATTAGCATTTCTTGTAAGGTAAGTCTGATGGTAATGAATTCCCTCAACTTTTGTTTGTCTGGATAAGTATTTCTCTCTCCTTCATTTCTGAAGGACAGTTTGCCAAGTACAGTATTCTTGGTTGGCATGGGTTTTTTTTCCTTCAGCACGTTGTATTTATCATCCTACTCTC